CATCCATCCATCCCTCCTTCCCTCCCTCCCTCCCTCCATTCATCCATCCGCTCCTTCATTTCCTTGTTCTGAGCCCTAGGAAACCAATGCGCCCCCCCCCAAGAGGATGGGGTACCACACCAGCAGTTGATTCATGGTGGGTCTTCTCCAAAGAGCAACAGCAAGAGCACTGCTGACGTTCTGAGGCCCCATCCTGCCCCCTCTTCTCCAGAGTGGCTGGAGGGAAGGGGGGGGGAGGCCCTTTCCCTCAAGGTCCCCTTCCAGCATCCAGGGTTTCCAACCCACCACGGCCCCCTCCCTCCTTCCCTCCACCAGCCTAGGCTGATGCTCATGGCCATGAATCATGGGAGGGAGGGAGGGAGGGAGGGAGGAAGGTGGGTCGGGGTGCTTTGAATCCTCCCTCCCTCTTTGCGACAGAGGAGAAGAGCCTTGACGTCACGGAATGATTCACGAGCAAGAGTCGCGGCCAGGCAACAGCGGGCGCTGGACCAAAGAAGGGAGCAGGTTTTCCAAAGGGCTGCCAAGAGGCCGCCGCGACCTTGGGGACGTCCCTTAAAGTTTACCATTGTCGTCACCTGCAGACATCTATCTGCTCGATGTACTGAAATGCTGGGCTCCATTTAATCAAGGAGAAACATGAAACATGACGCGAAGCTCGCTGGCTGCCCCCCCCGCCATCCCTTGATCATCTGAAGGGTCTTTGAAAAGAGCTGGCGGTCCCGCGGTGGTCAAAAGCTGGAGCATCAGCAGCACCCCTTTGCAGGAAAAGCCAGAGACCTGCTTCTTCCCACCCCGGCTACCCTTCACCCAGCCTCTCGGCTCTTACTCTCTTGCTCCTGCAGGCAGTAGGCGAAAGCCCCGTCTTCCAGGATGGCGAAATCTCGGCAAACTGAGGGGAGAAGAGCAAAGACAGCTGGGCCGTGAGAACATTCGCACCCGGCACAGGAGACCAACGGGGAGGGGGGCCTCTCTCAAGCACCCACCCACCCCGCGAGGTCACAGAAGGTGTGCCACTCGAACCACCGACCTCCAGACCTGCTGATCCAATAGGCAGAAGCAGCCTTTTAGCCAGCGTCCTCTGCCGCCGCATACCTGAACTGGGGGGGGGAGCATAAGAGACAGGGCTGCTCCGCATCTCAGGTGACTCAAAGCTTGGCTATGGCACCTGGCACTATCCTCGGAGGGCAGGAGAGAAGGCAGCAGCTCAGCAAGAACCCCTCCTTCCCAGGAAGACAGGCAGCCAGCCTGAGGCCACGGCATTTCCACGCAGGAGCACTGCCAGAAATAGGGGTGTGTGCGTACGGCGGAGACATCCCCTCGCCTGCAGGGCTGCTGCTCTCCCCCCCCTCCACCTCTTCCCCTGCCTGAAAGCTGTGCAGCAGCATTCCAGGCTCCCTGGCCAATGGGTGCAGTCCCAAAAGGCGGCTCTGAAACTCCTCCACTTGGGTGCGGCCGACACCACAAGAGTGCAAGGAGCAGGGGCGGGGGGGGCGGGGAAGGGAGAGGGAGTTAACGTGGGCCTCCTGGCTTCCAGGTGAAACTAGGGGTCATCAGGGATGTCTGGAGGGGGGAAGCATGGTGGGCTCTCTTCCTCCCCCTTCCCACAACCTTAAATGCGACAGGCCACATGGCAGTGAGCAGGCCTTCCGCTTAGGAGCCATCAGGCAGCTTCTTCCTCGCTGGAAAAATGCACACGGATGCCTTTGATAGCCATGGCTGACTAGTGGAGGGCAGTAGGAGGGTGGAGAGGACCTGAAGGGAGGGAATGTGCCACAGCATCCCTACTCCCGGTCCCAGGGAGCACCTCTGCCTCCAGGGGAACAATCTAGAAAGAGACTGGAATGGTCGAGAGAACATGCACATAAAGACGCCAGCACTGAGCCATCATAGCTCATCACAAACAGCAGGAACATACTCTGATCTCAGGCCCAGGAAGAGGAGCCCTCCCATTATGGCCATGACTGCCCATCTGCCCGGTGAGCCAGCTAATTCCAGGGAAGGCCTTCATTTCCTCCTGCTCCCCCTTTCCCACTTTTCTGCAGGCGCCGGGTGGAACAGGATAGCTAGCAAGGTCTTAGCAGCAAACATGCAGCAAAGTCTTAGCACAACAGTAACCGGGCAGTGCTTCTCAAAAAATGATTTCCCTTTTCGAAAACGCACCCTGTTGTCCTAAAAGGTTATGACATGGAAAGTCATAACCCTCTCGCAGGAACAGCAGTGAATCGGGATGCCTACCCCTTCTAGCCGCCCAAGTTGCACCTGGCCACATCCGTTCCACGGTGACTCACACAGCCATCAAAGCGCTCGCTGCTCTGACATCTAATCCGTGGCTTCCTTGCCTTTAGAGGAAATCGGTGGCCTCTCGAGTAATCCTGCCTTCCTTGTCCAACCCTTTAGAGGAAATTGGTGGCCTCTCGAGTAATCCTGCCTTCCTTTCCCTTCCCCAGGGATTTCCTTCCACAAACAGGAAGTCAAAGCTTGTAAATGGAAGAATCCGGGCAAAAGTGCGGAAAGCCGGTCCACGACACGAGAAGGTCCCAAAGAGGCACCAAGAATGTGCCACGCTTTGCCAGCCACTCAAATAGCTGGCTCGTCTGGCAGATTTCTCTTTGGGGTGGTTTTTTTTAAAAAAAGATTGTTATCATGCCTAATTAGCGTGCCATCTTCAATCAGCCCTCTTTCAGCTTCTCGTGGGCACACCCAGAGAGGCAGGCAATGCTCTCTCTGACTTGATTTTTTTTTCCCAACCAGGCACCCCCATCCTCCACCAGCGACCCACCCACCCCATATGCAGCCTCTAGGGCTGAAATGGGAGGGTAACCCTCCAGAAGGCTGAGGAGCGGGCAGGGGTGGCAGGACTGCCCTTCTGGGCCAAAGCCTCAGGAGGCAAGCCACGCTGGGTGTTTTTTTCCTTCCGGAAATGGGTGTGCCCATTTACACCGGAGCAAAATCTGTCAGCTCAGCCCAGGCTAAGATGCTGCCCTGCCAGGGTCTGATTCTCTTCCTCCTCCCTGCTTATCTTCATCCCTGGAAGGTTTGTCTTTCCATGTCGGCAGAAACAGACGGGTTTCCCGTCCACCTAGAATCTTGGGTGCTGGAAACAGACTTAAATCTGCAGTCTAGCTCATTAGCTGGCTTTGCTCCTTAAGCTTAATTCTGCAGCTCAACGTCTCCTTTGAACTGGAGAATAACACCGGAGAGAGACGGGACTTCCCAGAAGGGAAGCTTTCTTCCCCGTTGATTGAAACAGGGAACCTGTTGGGACACACCTTGGGTCTGCTCCCTTCCCGGGCGTTTTTCTCACCCTTTCTCATTTTATTTATCACCTTGCTGACATCCGGCTGGACACCAAAACATCCCAACGCGGGTTGCAGACAGCAAAGCAAGTCAAAACATGTTCGTAACAGGGTGGAAAGGCTCGCCCACGTCCAGGCCACACAAACTGTAACCCCGAACCAAATCAAGCCACAGTTGTGACATCCCAAGGAGAGCCAAGAGCTGGGGGGGTTGGTCAATGAAGAGCCAGCTGGGACCCCCCTGGGAGGGCATTCTGCCAACCACAGAGCAGGGCACCCTCTCAACACTAGCATCCCACGGATGTTGTTCTTTAGCTGAATCTTTCAGGCTATATCCGTAAGTGACCAGGAAAATTACAATGGCTATCTTGGGGAAAATCATCACGCTGGCCAAATTCTATCTCTCTCTCCCCCCCTCCCTCCCCCCCCCCAGCTTGGCTTGTATCACAGCCTACCTTCTTGAACTGGAGGCAGACGGGAACGGTCGATCTGAATGCCCGTCATCGTCATCTTCAGTGCTGGGGCCGCCGCACGGCGGTCGTCCATCGGTTGCGGTTGTCGGTGGCGGTCAGCAGCAGTACACCCGGCCCCTCCCGAGAGCATGGCGGCCCCCCTGCAACAATACCTGGGATGGGATCAGGATGCAACACAGGAGGGTTTAGAGACATTTCACTTGGCATCACCCTGGAGGAGCTCACTGGCTTTTGGGATCGTTGCCTGGTGTGTGTGTGTGGGGGGCAGGCTGGTGGTCCAGAGGGGCAAACATGGTACTCATCTTGGAGAAGGCAGGGGGGGGCTGAGAAATGCCCCTTTGTGTTGCCCGCCAAAGGTGTTTCAGAGATGGAGGGAGGAGAAAGGGACAGGAGAAGCTGGATAGAGCTTCCAACGGAGCTTCTTTGCCAGGTAAGCTTAGCCACATGAGGGAAATCTGTTCACCTCCTTTTGCCACTTTACTCCCACCACCCAAAACAGCTTCCGGCCCATTTCGGGCGACTGTGGAGGGCAAAATCCAAAGCCTAGCCTTTCTGCGCTGCCCTGGGAGACTTCAGGGCATGCAGAGGGAATACAACATGTATTTCTTCTGAAGTGCAGCCAGGAAGGCCCTCCCTCCTTTTCCCAAAGGCACTGTGTTACTTATTTAATTGATACCCCACCCAATTAGAGACTTGGCATTACTGCGGGAGGTATACAATGAGGAAAACCACACAACCACCCCCCCGCTCCATTCCCATAAGAACACGACAAATCACAAGGGCGCTACCACTGACTCAAGTGTGGTGATCTTTAGAAAACCTAAAATTCAACTGCCAGAATGAACATTTCAGAATAAGATGCTCTTAAAGCTCCCTTGTCTTGCCTTGAGAAGGATCTTGAATTTCGGAAGGCATGGCGCACGGCACACCTTAGCTGGTTGTTCCGCAAAGCGAGGGCTGTTGCTAAGAAGGCCTGTCACCTCCTCCGTCCCTCGCTAGCTCCCCTTGGTGGAGCCACTTTTAGCTTTGCGGACTGAGAGGCTTATGCGAGCGACACGGTGCACTGATTTTGGAGAGAGACCTTCTGACAAGTATTGAGGTCCTAGGTCCTTCAGGGTCATAACCCATACCTTAATTTGAGCACGGAAACCAAGGTAGGCAGCCTGAGACAGAGGTGACCTGAATTTTTTTTTTTAACTGATCTCCGAGATCAGCTTGGCTGCCCCATTTTGGACCTGGTGAAGTTCCCGTACTGTTTCCAAGGGCAGCCCCTACATAGACAGCATTGCAGCAGTCTATTTCTGAAATGCCCAACGTGTGTTCTGGTATTATTAAGCATTTCCTATGCACTTATGAAACACCTTTCATTTCCAAAAGAAGTCTGTTGCCTCTGCTGGGAGAGGAAGCCTTTGGTCTGGGGAACCCACAACCCAACCCCATCGGGGACCAAGGCCTCCCCACTCGGGTCTTGCTACCCAGGCAGAAATCAGGCCAAATCAGCTTCTGTTTCAGGACATGCGGCATTTGGTCTTTGAAAATGATCTGAACGGGTTTAAGGTGGAGGGTGGTGTGGCTCGGTGGATTGGAGGGGGGTGCACTTTGAATCTTCTCTGCATCTTGGAGGGGCAGCCATGATCACACCACAGTGTGGCGGACGGTGTGTGTTATACGCCCTGCCACCACTGTGACATTTTCAGAGCACGAGGGGTGGGTGGGTTTCACACAGAAAGGACAACCACGTTTAGGGGCCCCTTAAAGTGAGTCTGGGCAAAGGCTCGGTGAAAACCTCCCCATGTGGGGAAGTCCTCGGACTCTGGTTCAGGAAAATCCCACACACACACCCTGCCGCCACCGGCAAAATTCTTTTTGTGAAACCGTCTCCGCATCAGCGCCTCCTTTCGGCTCCTGCTTCCAATCCTCAGCTCAAGGAAGCTGCATTTTTATCAGCTGAGCCGCTGTAGACAAATGTCCTTAGAAGAAAAACCAACTGCCCAGCATAGGCATGTTAAAAATTCGGAGGGTGAGAGGGTGACGGGGGGGGGGGAGCAATGTGCCCCCCCAGGCGATGGCTCCTCCACAATCTGCTCCACCTGGTGGGCTCCTAGGAAGCCCTGGTGCCACCCTCAGTGCCCCCTCCACCTCTTGGCTATCAAGCAGAGCATCCACCCACCCTTCTCCTGTCTGCCTGCCTCTGTGTGTGTGTGTGTGTGTGTTTGAGAGAGAGAGAGAGACTATGGATCAAGCCAGTGCAGAAGGGGAGGAAGGTAAGAGACACCCCCCCCAAAAAAAACCCACAGAGACGCCTCTGCTCCCTTGAAAAGCAGCAGGCTGCTGGAATCCTGCCTGGACCCATGGGAGGCTCCAGGAGCCCTGGGCCCTTAAACACTGCGGGCATGCAAGAGTCAAAGGCTGGCATCACAAGAAGCAAAATT